TTGCATTCTTGATCGATCATTATCATCGTATGTTAATCTCTCTATAAGATTGGTACATGATGGCTTTTCTAAAAAAAAATGAAAAAAAATTTATAAAATTTGGCAACCGTTGAAAGGATATTTTCATTATATTTTGCTGCTAACCTTTCACAGAAATTGGGTTTTTTGTTGCAATTTCAAGCTCCTCTACGCTTTGCAAAAGCTCGTTTTCTTGCTTAAGCTCGTTTTCAAGCTTCTCGAGTTATTACGTTTTCGGGAATCCTTAAGCGAAGGTTTTGACAAATATTCCAAACTTGTCGCTAGCAAATCTCTTTCTTTATTGTCATTGTGAGCAGCAGCTTCGTCTACAACCGGTTCTATCATTAATTTTCTGCTCTTACTATCCGATGTTATTACTTTCTCATACAGCTTACCTGAAGTGTTTGGTTTTGCGGCACAAAATGTAAGTCCTTTTCTAATTTTAGTGCCAGTTTTAGTTTTTCTAAAGTTTTTCGTCTTATCGTAAAGTGCCGTAGGGGGGGAACTAACTGAACGTCTCGTAGGAGATATTTTTGAAATTTTTTTTTCAGTGATCCTTAACTTTGACGAATTAATCGCATTTTCTTGATCATCTTTACTTACAGATCGCTTATCGATTAAATTATTATGCTTGGCGCTTAGCATAGGATCAATATCGCTTAGTTGCGCGAATTTCGGAACAGATTTGTTAAGAATTTGTAAACTCACTTGTTTGTCTTTCTTCAGAATATCTTCAATATTTAAATTATCAACCATGCGGCTCGATGAAGAATCAATATTGCTTATTTTCTCAAAGTTCGCAAGGTGTTTTTCAATTATCTGTAACTTCGGACATTTCGCAGAACTTATTTGTTCATCTTCTTTCACAACTTTTTCATCATGCGAGGTTCTCGATGTAGGATCAATATCGATTCCTTGTACAAATTTCGATCGAAATTTTTTATTTTTGGAGGATTCCGTCGAACTTACTTGCTCATCTGCTGATAGAGCATTCTCAATATTTGAATTACCTTGCAAGAATGTTGATGTAAGATCAGTGTCGCTTGACAAAGAAAACTCGGAGACTGATTGATTTCCTGATTTATTATCTTCACGCCAATTGAGTTTCTTTCTCAAGTTTTTAGCTCGCTCTAATTTAATCACAAGCTTTTTCCTAAATTGATTTGATGAAGCTTGAGCTTCTGTTGCGTCTTTGTATTTTGGTTTTCCTTGCGCACTACTATTCATTATTGTTGTGGTTATTGCATTTGCATTTTCCGAAACGATTTCATTATTGATTTTGCTATTAATTGCGCGTTCATTGTTATCATTCCTTTCCAGGCGCTTACTTTGTTGTATATTCTCCACTTGTGGTAATTTTATACGATGCGGAATTGGAATGGTTGTCATTACCAATGGTTCTTCAATAATTTAGTTGATTTTTTATCAAGTTTCTTTGAATTTGAAGCTTCCTCCGCGATATCATCAGAAGAAGTAATCTTTTCACAAGACGACGATCTATTATGTTTAACTACTACTGCAGTTAACTAGGAAGTAAAGACAAGAAATAAGTATATGGATAGAAAAGAAATTATATACGATTTATATCAAATTTCTTAATACCCATTGCATCAGCGTGAGTCGGAAGAGAAAATCCATATCATATATGCCTCACTTGCATACGATTTTTATCAGAATTTATTGACCGACCTTCGAAACAACTTAAGAAATTTTTTACGCTTGATACAAGGTTTTAATAAAGGCATGGTTTGAAAATATTTTTAAAGTTTTTTAAATTTTTATAAAGGACCCTAAAATTATAAGTTCACTTTTCATCGACGAAGTGATATCAAGACCTGAAGAACGTGATAAGAAGAAACCTTAGATCAAATTTACTTGTCTAAACACAGGCAGGTTGATATACCGATCTCGTTTTCGATTTTAGAGATTTATTAAGAGTATTTTAAAGTGTTACAAGCGTTTAGAAAGTCTTATGAATGTTCTCCTGCGTATAGTGCAAAAAGTGCAGAAATTGTATTTGCCTGCGTCCGAATCTTCTAAAAGATCACTAGCGTTTTCTTTAAAAAAAAAATGTTTACTGATCCGGAATATATGTACTTTGTAAGATCTTTTTAACTTCCTTTCGACTGTCGCAAACATTTTATCAAAATGAATGGACGTCCGTACTTTGATAACGGATGTCAAGATATTAATGGTTTCTGGGGATGCCCGATGATTTCAAGCAAAAAAAAAAAAAAAAATTGACGTTGATGCAACCTATAAGGCGTATTTTATGTCTTTCGTTTGATTTGTTTTATGTACTCACCTCTTTATTCCCTTCTTCCCTAAAATCTTTCGCGAAAACCTCGGTCGAAAACTCAGCTTTGAAATTTTCAAGCAAGTAGTTTTCATTTAATTCTCGCACCTCATCGATATATTTCCACCCCGTACGCATCGATTCTCTTGAATTCTCTGAACTGTCGTTTGCAGTTTGGCGTAAAACTTCTATTACATTAGTCTTTGACTTACCAGACGATCCTCTTCCTGCCTTCTTCATGTCAATTTGTTGCTTTTTTTCTCCCTCGCTTTGCTCAACAATTTCTTCTGAATGTTCTACACAGCCATCTACAGACGCATATGCAAATGCAGGCTCTACCTGAACTTCATTGCAAACGTCTTCCAATAAATTCAGCTTTGAGTTACCAGGCAACTCTCTACCCTCGCTAATGATCTTTTGTTGCTGTCTTTTCAATAAGTGTTTCTTTTGCGTGGCCGTCATCTCGTGGCCGCCTACAGCTTCTGCTTCCGTTTTTTTAAAATTTTTTTTCCAAATATAAGACGTTTCACTTAACTCCATTATGTTCATTTCTTGTTGGCTTCGTAATACCTGCTCGTCACACAGTTTTAGTTCATTATGCACTTCTAATAACTGGGCTTCTTTCTCTTTTGGATCTATGTTAGTTGTTTTTAATTTTTGCAAATTCTCTTTAATACTTTCGACAATTTGGTTGGTACGCTTTGCAGCCTCATAGAGTATACGAAGAGCATCTGCTGGTGTCAACGACGCTCCAGACATTCCGGGGCAGAGTTTATCGCAATTCTGCATACTAATATTTCCCCTATAAAAGGATTCACATTTCTTTTCATCAGTGAACAATGTTTGTGAATCACTACCATCATCGTAAGCATTACTGGAACGCACCAGATGGTCATCTGCTTTTATTAATTCCAATTTATTCCGATTTTTACAAATACTCATTCCATTATTATTGACATTAACGTTCTCACTACTTGTTTTCATTTTGAACGACATCTGCGTAAGCTGCGATAACTCCGATTCGCAGATGCCCATCGCATGCAATTGATTTAAGGTTAAATTCATGATGTCCGCAATGTTTCGAACTTTACAGTTGTTATACAAAAAGTCAAATTGTTCCGATTTTAAGAAACTCAACTGTTGTCTCATGAAAGCAAACGCTCCTTCATTATGAGTTTGCGAGTCAATGTTCACCGTCGATAACGTTGAACGTACCGATGATTGTCGTTGCTTTTCTTGTTGATCCTTCTGACATTTCGAACCAGAAGGTGCTTGAGCAAGAATAGTGTCGTTCACTGCTTCAGTTTGCAAAAAAAACTTTGCTTTCTTAGCATTTTCATTGCAAATCAATTCGTCTTTTTCGTTTGCCACAGATTTGGATTTGCTGGCGGCCGTTTTTTTTGGGCAGTAGCGAAGTGCTCAAACCCATCTGTCTTTCCCTGACGCGAGATTGACGCTTATTAGAGTTGCCTTCCTTCGCATTTGACGAAGAAGAATTTATGTCATTAACGAATTTGTCGTTTCTTTCAGACGGCGCACACTTTGGCTTTATGACAGCAACTTTCCGACTGCTAAGATTTATTTGGTTGCAAGACGTCCGTGTTCTTTTTCTTGTGGCTACTGCTCAAAATAATAAATTTTTTATTCTTTTACATAAATTAAACTCTGATGAAAAATCTATAGTTCCTACGTTAAAGATTTCTAAAGCGCAAATTTTTCGAAATTATCCCTTTGGAATAAATCCTTCTCTAATTTCTTTATTTCAGATATGTCTTATATAATGCTAAGCAAATGTCCCAAAACGCACACGTGCTTTTAAAAGTTTCATTTTTTATCGGGAAAACAAGGAGCATAAATTAAATATGAGAGGATTGATAAAAATCCATTGTAATCTCCATAACGGTTCCAAGATCTGTGCAGACT